TGCCTGACACGCAGTAGGTATTCAGGACAAGTTGGTCTGTGTTCAGTGTCATGCATGTAGGATTTGACTGCGTTCAGAAGAGGCATGTACGTGTTTGCATGCTTAGTTATTTTTAAGTGTGCTAATTGCCTCTTTAAGTGAATTGTCATAACTGTGTGATTCTAATATTTTGATACAGCATATGCTTATTTTTTCAAAAGGCTTCTGGTCAATTGGGCCGGTGCCAGCAGATTGAGGTTTTGTTTTTTGACTGAAAGGAATGGACTTGAGCAGTCACTTAGCATTCACCGGGCACCTGCTCTGTGCCAGCACCTATTTTAGCGGTGCCGAGGGACAGGGAGGGAGGTGGCAGTCAAAGCACATGAATAGCAGGTGGCTGAGGGGCGTAGAGTATGTTGGGAAGGACAGATGTGGTTTGAAACTAGAGCCTGGGACATTCCCTCATTTCCCATGCTCATTTATTGTGTTGTAATGAGTCTTTACTGTGCACTGTGCTAGGAACTGATGACAAGACAGTTTAAGGACTTCCCAAAGACACAGAGTAAGTAAACAGCAGCTCACTGGCTCAGGATCCTCGTTCATGAATGCTCCTAACTCACACAGCACAGGTCTGAGCAACACAGGGTGATGTCTGTCTTCAGCCTGACCACCAAGATGGGCCGGGGGCCGATTGTGTTTAGGTGTGATAAGCCACAGATATCACATCACCCCAGAAAACAAAGTCCCACTGCCGGCTTTCCAGTTCATAGTCGTCGCCTCAAGGAAGAAGCCTTCCCAACCCCTCTGCCCATTCTGAGGCAAAACTGCTCCTTTGATGCTCCCTACACAATCCCTTGTGTATGTTCCCTGTAGTATCATAGTATTCATGACGACCTGCAATTATTTTGACTCTGCTCACCTTCTTCGTGTGTCCCTGTCCCCCACATCCCAGTGTGCTACTGTTTACCTATTCTGTGTCCTTGGGGAAGTCCCCACCATCTCTAGAACTCCAGATGAGGGCAACAAGGATAGTAATAATAACTGACACTGACATCACTGACTGCTGGCATTGTACTGAGAAACTTACATGTTACTGATTCATTTACTCTTTACAGCAGCCCTATAGATACATACTGCCCATACCCACTTTCTCACACATGAGGAAACTGAGGCATAGAGAGGGTGTTTTAGTGAGTTTTGCATTGCTATAAAGGAATACTTGAGGCTGGATAGTTTACAAAGAAAAGAGGTTTAATTGGCTCGTGGTTCTGCAAGCTGTATCAGCAAGACACTCGCATCTGCTCAGCTTTCGGTGAAGCCTCAGGAAGCTTTCACTCCTGGCAGAAGGCGAAGGGGGAGCAGGTTTGTCACATGACAAGAGAAAGAATGAGGTAGGGGGTAAGAGGTGCCAGTCTCTTTCAACAACCAGCTCTTGTGTGAATTAATAGAGCGAAAACTCACTAATTACCGCAGGGAGGGTACCAAGCCGCTCCTGAAGGCTTGGCCCCATGACCCAAATACTTTTGGCCCAGCCTCACCTCCAACACTAAGATCACTTTCAACATGAGATTTGGAGGGGACAAATATCCAAACTGTATCAGAGGGTAAGTAATGTACCCAGAGTCACACACAGGTGGTAAGTAGCAGAGCCAGGATGCAAACCCAGGCTGCTTGGCTCTTAACCATTGCACGGCACTGCCTCCTGCATGATAGGGACAGTAGTTCCCACCTCCAGGGCAGTCCTGAAGGTTGAGTGAGATGCATTTTTATAGCATCCGCTCCAGGACCTGGCTGTCCATTCAACTCATTTTTTTCAGATGAGGTCTCGCTCTGTCAACCAGGCTGGAGTGCAGTGGCACAATCACAGCTCACTTCAGCCTTGACCTCCTGGGCTCAAATATCCTCCCACCTCAGCCCCCAAAGTAACTGGGACTATACGCGCATAGCACCACACACAGCGAATTTTTATTTTATTTTTTTGTAGAGATAGGCTTTCAACATGTTGCCCAGACTGGTCTCGAACTCCTGGGCTCGAGCGATCTTCCTGTCTTGACCTCCCAAAGTGCTGGGATTACAGGCCAGCTCATTGTTTCTGAGCTCTTAGTTTGTACCCAACTCTGTGCCAGGTTCTGACTGAGGCATTGGGGATATGGGGAGCAAAATGCACATTAAACATTAAACAAATAACCACACAAGAAGTCAGTTAGCTACTTATGCGATGAGTGCCTCCACAGCAACATTCTGGGCAATCTTGGGGCATGTAATGGGATTTGATCTACCCTGGAGTATCAGGGAAGACATTTAAACAAGATCTATTGTGGAAGGATGAGTAGGAACGAGCCACGTGAGGGACCACATGTGGCGGGCGGAGCAGTCCAGCAGAGGGAACTGCACAGGGGAGAGCGCAGAGGCAGGAGAGGTCCCTGTGACTAGAGGGGTGGCGGGGCCAGGCCATGCAAGGACTTCCAGGGCTGGATTTGGGACTGTGGACTTCATCCCGAAGGCAGTGGGGAGCTCATCATTTGACGTGGGATTGACATCGTGTGATGATCATCTTGATGGAGACCACTCTGGCTACAGAAAGAAAACAGAGCAGCCCAGAGTGGCCAATACAAAGGGTTGGTAAGAGGTGGCAGTGGCCTGGACTAGTGGCAATGGGGATGGAGAGAAACAGATTGTAAAGATATTTTGGAGACGTTTCATTGGATTTGAGAGGTGCCAGAGGGTGAGTCCCAGATTCCTGGCTCTATGACCTGGATGGAAAAATTCTCCAAGCAGGTGTCACTTGCCGAGATGGGGAGGCCACAGGGGCACAGCAGGGGAAAGGGGCATTATGACCAACAAATGAGAACATTGACTGGGCATGGAGGGGCTCAGCCCTGGAGCTCAGATGAGTAACCAAGGCTGGAGGTCTAAATGTGGCATCTAAACAAGAATCTAGAAAACCTAGACTGGTCGAAGTTCACCTGGGGAGGCAATGCAAGGCAGGAAGAGAGGGGCGCTCAGGACTGAGCCTGAGGAACCCCAGCATGAGAACAGAGAAGGAGAGGGTGAAGCAGGAAGGTGGGCATAGTCATGGCTGTTCCCAGATGACTGCCCATCTGTGAGATCATCCCACCACAGCCCTGCAGAGGGGGCCACTGAGCAGGAGACCATGTGGTTCTGGGTCCCAGGGGTGGATCCCAGGGTGGCAAAGCTCGTACCTCTCAGTCTGTTCTATGGCTGTAAAGGATAGTCTAGGGCTCTACCCCGTGGCATTTAGGGATCTTGTGCTTTCTGTCATTGCCACGGGCTGTACGCACGCACACCCAGTTATCTCCACTGCTCAGTGACTTCACCCAGCAGACATTCAGGGGACTGGCCCATCACCAACCAGGTCCTGTGCCAGGCTCAGTGACCTTCGCTGTTTTAACACGCGCACTTAACAAACAATACAACGATGCTAGAAGATGTTATTTGATAAATGTTCAAGATACTGTATATGCCAATTACCCTGATAGGATCGTTATGCATTATTTGTATTAAAACATCACTGTGTATGCCACAAGTATGTACCATTATTTTATGCCCGGTTAAAAAAAATGAAAGAAGAAGTGTGAAAAACATTTACCTTTATGTTTACCAATGCCTTTGATATCCTTCCTCTGTTTTAGAACATTCTCAACTATTATCTCCTCAGTTCTCCCCTGACCTATTCTCTCAGTCTTCTCGCTCCAGAATGCTGATTGAAGACGTGTCCATTAGACACTCTTACTCTGTCCACTGTGCACAGAAACTCTCTTTCGTATTTCCTTTTTGACCGTCTATGCTGAATGCTGGATAATTTCTTCAGAGTCATCTTCCAGTTGACACATCTCTCTTCTGCTAGGTCTAATCTCTCCCAGAGTGTAGAAATGGAAGAAGAACTCCTCAAGCTAATGTACCCTTGGTACTAAAACCCAAAAAGGACAGCATGAGACAGAAAAATTATAGGCCAGTCACATTTGTGAACCTGATACAAAAGTCCTAAACAAAACATCAGCCAACACAACCCAACAATCTTACAAAAAGAATAAAATGTCATGGCCAAATAGGGTTTATTCCAGGAATGCCAGATTGATCTACCATTAGAAAACCAAATTACATATTTACTGTATTAACTGCATTAAAGGAGAAAGGTTATTTAAGCCTGTCAGTAGGTGCAGGGGGAAAGAATTTGATAAAATCGAAAAGCCATGCACAATTTTAATAAACCCACACACTTTGACCCACCAGAAGGCCTCTCAATTTGCTAAAGAAGACCTCAAAGAACTCGTGGCAAACGTCATCCTTTGTGGTGAAATATGGAGCTCTTTAAGATAAGGAGAAAGGCCGAGATGTCTGCTCTCACTGTTTCTGTTCAGCCTCCTGGAGGCTCCAGGACAGTTTGGCAAGGTGGGAAAAAATAAGGAAGGCCTGGAAAGGAGGGTGTCCAGGTGACTCCTGGTTTCTAGCTTGTGCTCCTGCTTGGATGTTTGTGCCGTTCGCCAAGATGAGAAAGGCTGAGAAGCCCTGGTCAGGCTGAGGGTTGGGAGCACAAGAGAAAATGGTCTGGCTTCCCTGGAGAAATCACCACACGTGGGATCAGGACACCTCAGCTCCATTCCCAGCTCTTCCCCCAACCTTGGATGGATGGCTTTCCTCCTTGGACCTGAGTCCCATCCGTGACATGGGTGGGCGGGAAAGATGGACCCAAGGCGGACTGTGAGGGGCGGATCTGGTGGGAAATCAGAGAGGAACATGGGGAGCCGGCCCCCATTCTCCAGGAAGGCAGACTTGTGTGTGCAGAGCCTCTGGTGGGAGGAAACATCTGTTTGGGGATAGGGCAGGAATCTGATCGAGTCAAGGCACCATCTTGACCCTCTGCCTTGCAGAGGCATATCCCTTCTCTTCTTTGCCAAATCGTTGCTATTGCTATTGTTGGTGCCGTTGTTGGCGCTGTTGGGTATGTTCTGTGGTTGTAAGGCACTGACCCCCGACGACATGTCTTTTTCATGTTTTAGACCTACAACGGCCAGAGCGAGAACAACGAAGACTATGAGATCCCCCCAATAACACCTCCCAACCTCCCTGAGCCATCCCTCCTGCACCTGGGGGACCACGAAGCCAGCTACCACTCGCTGTGCCACGGCCTCGCCCCCAACGGTCTGCTCCCTGCCTACTCCTACCAGGCCATGGACCTCCCAGCCATCATGGTGTCCAACATGCTAGCACAGGACAGCCACCTGCTGTCGGGCCAGCTGCCCACGGTGAGTCCCTGTCACCTGTCATGGTCCTGATGGTGACAGCAGGGAGGGGGTTGAGAGGGAAGCAGAATGTTGGTACTTTGGTAAGAACCCTCTGCTCATGGGCAGGGTCTGGGTTCAGCGGGTTGCTTGCGTGGGAGTGTGTGGAACACAGCGGATGGGCACGGAGAGAAATCTAATGTCAGCACGCTGCTCCTTTCTGGAGCTCCGTGTACGATATCTTGGTATTGGTTTGCATTATTTGTTAATAGTATAATCTCTTTTTGACATTTTTATTGAGGTATAATTTATATTCCATACAGTTCACCCATTTAAAGTATACTATTTAATGACTTTTGGTATATTCAGAGTTGTGTGACCATTAACACAGTTGATGTTAGAACGTTTCATCGCCTCATAACGACATGCAGGCGGGCCACAGTGGTGTGTACCTATAATCTCAGCTACTTGGGAGGCTGAGGTGGGAAGATGGCTTGAGCCTGGGAGTTCTGGGCTGTAGTGCACTATGCAAATCAGTTGGCTACACTAGCTTTGGCATCGATATGGTGACCTCCCAGGAGTGGGGGACCACCAGGTTGCCTAAGGAGGGGTAAACTGGCCAAGGTCGGAAACAGAGCAGGTCAAAACTCCCGTGCTAACCAGTAGTGGGATCGTGCCTGTGAAAAGTCACTGCACTCCGGGCAACATGCAAGACCCTCTAACTAAAAAAAAAGAAAAGAAAGGAAATGCTGTATTCCAGGCATGGCGGCTCACATCTGTAATCCCAGCACTTTGGAGACCGAGTCAGGAAAATTGCTTGAGTACAGGAGTTGAAGACCAGCCTTGGCAACATAGCAAGATCCTGTCCACAAAACAAAAAATTAGCCAGGGGTGGTGGCATGCACCTGGAGTCCTAGCTGCTTGGGAGGTTGAGGTGGGAGGATCACTTGTAATTTAAATTTAAATGTAATTTTAAAAATTGTATCTTGCTTAAGCTGCCAGAGAAGAGGGTGTTTACTGAGTTAAAGTTCATGGGATAGGTAAAAATGTAGCAGGCAGACAAAGGCAAGAAGAACCTTTCCCAGGCTGGGGGAATAACAGGTACAAAAGGGGGCGGCAAGGGTGCTCGTGCCGTGCTTGGGAACGGCATGTGGTTCATTGTTTTTATTGGGCTGGAGAAGAAGGACCTGGAGCCAGAGGAATAGAGGAGATGAAAGAGCTCAGCAGAGCCTGGATCATAAGAGTCCTGAATACCGTTCTAAGGAGGGGTGTGTGTGTGTGTGTGTGTGTGTGTGTGTGTGTGTGTGTGTGTATCCAGCTATATGTATCTATATCAGATATCTCTCTCTCTCTCTCTCTCTCTCTCTCTCTCTCTCTCTCTCTATTAGCATGACTGATTTGAGGCCAGGCGTGGTGGCTCATGCCTCTAAAAAAAAAAAGAAAAGAAATGCGGTATTACCAGGTGTGGTGGCTCACGCCTGTAGTCCCAGCACTTTGGGAGGCCGAGGCAGGCGGATCACTTGAGGCTGGGAATTCAAAACCAGCCTGGTCAACGTGGCAAAATTCCATCTCGACTAAAAATACAAAAATTAGCCAGGTGTGGTGGCACATGCCTGTAATACCAGCTACTTGGAAGGCTGAGGCATGAGAATCGTTTGAACCTGGGAGGTAGAGATTGCCATGAGCCGAGATGGTGCCACTGCACTTCAGCCTGGGCAACACAGCAAGACCCTGTCTCAAAAAATTAATGGCTGATTTGAACCATCAAAATCTATAGAAAAAAAGAACAGAGGCGCATTTTTTAATATACCATAGAAAAATCTCCTTAAGGGAATTCTAGTGCTTCTTCTGAACAACTGTGATTTGTGTTTATTTCTGCTTTTCCCTTCACAATTAATACTACATACTAGTCATGACTCTTACATTCATTTTTAAGTGACAGGAACCAATCTCAAACTTACGCAAAAGAGTCTGAAATATCCAGGGTGTGGTCGCAGAGTTTCAGGCATGGTTTGATCCAGGAACCCCACCAGTGTCAGGCCACATTTCCACACAACAGGCCTGTTGGCTGCTGGCAGCCGGCGTCTTCCCTGACATCTCTGGGAGAGAGGATCATGACAGCATCGCTGGATGGACCACTATGTCTATGAGGAAGCAGTTCACTCTTTTATCAGCTTGTGTCACACACACCTGTGGCACAGGAGGAGGGCTGCTTAGTTGATTTTTCATAGCAGAATCTCATGGTTTGGGGTGGCTTGTGTCTCCCTCTACCATGACTTCTCAGAAGCCACAGTCAAATTTGTGGCCCAATTCTAGCAGACCTCGGGGCCTTAGGGCATGGCTTTAGAGTCAGCCGAGCTCAACTGGATTTTATTTGTTTACTCTCCTTTTATTACCACCAAACTTCCTTGTTTAAAAAAGATGGTGTCTTCTGTGTATTTTTTTAAGGCACATCACATTTTTTGTTTATTTTTGGAGTTAGGTGAGAAATAAAAGGAGACAAGGAAGAAAGGGAGGGTTGGAGGAAAACAACTTGAGGTCCACGTTTTATAGTGTTTGGTTCTTATGAAAGAGTTCAATGAAAATGGATGCTTCATTTCTACAGAAATTTTTTCCTTGTGGGTCCATCAATAATGCTAGTCCTCAGCTTCCCCTTCTGTCTCTGAAACCTAGCGATTCAGACACGCACCGCCATGTCTGAAATGACTTTAACCCATTTGTACCTGAGGTTGTAATGTTGTGAATGCTTGTGATCAGACCTTGGTGGTAAGCTTGAGCAGTAGGATGTCAATAACTCCCACATGCTTAATGTTCCAATAATGGAACACTAGGCATAAAGGGGTTTCCACTGCGCTAGAATGCTTGTACCTTACTTGCTTACCAGGCTCATTTTCTAGCAGAAACCTCACTGCTTGGGACCATCCCTGTTTGGGATTTATGGTAATACAAGCAAGAACAGGGTCAGGTGGCACCTTGTCATCTGCTACGTGGGCCGCGGTGCAGGGGTGAGCATGGCTAGAGTATGGGGCCACTGTGTCACCACCTTTGGTACTGGGGTGAATGGAGACAGTGTCGGGTGGTGGTTGGTCCCAGAGACCCGAGTTAGATCCTGGCTTCACCTTTGAAGCTTCGGTTCGCTTGTCTTGGAATAATAATTATGCTCACTGAAGATTGTGGTGAAGTGTATTGGAGATAATATGTGTAAAGTCTTAGCAAATGTCTGGCAGAGAGTAAACACTCAATGAGCATTCCCTATTGTTATTAGCAATAAAAATGAATTCCCGCTGTAACCAAATGGCAGTGTCTCATTTACCTAAAGGAGCAGCCTGCAGACACCCTCAGGTACCTTTGTAGGGCCACCTGGTGTAATAGCTTTGACAATGACGAAGCATGTTATCTTTTTATCAAAGATGACCCCCTAATTGCCCCTCCTCGGAAATGCTTTTGTTGGGCTCTGTCCAAATAGGCCCTTGTAGTCGTTTTCCAGATTTTCTTTAACTCGTGTTTAAGAAGCTTCACAAATTCAGATAGCCTTGATTCTTCCGTTAGTCAGACTTTGCAAGGGTTCACTGAATTTTATATTCCCTCTTTTTGTAATGGAAGATAAGCCAAACTCTATTACCCAGGGGAGGGCACCTGGACCAACTGGGAAAACCAGATAAGAACAGGTACATGCGTTGGGACGACCTGGTGAAGGGAGACAAGGGGTTCTTCAAGACAAAGTTTTTAAATTCATCTGAACCACAGGACGAAGGGGTGTGGCCCTGTGTGCGCGAGGGCAAACACGCTACGTGGTGACACTGGAATTGGTATGGCCCCCTTCTGGGTCTCAGGCACCATGCAGAGGGCTTTGCAAATGTTTTCTTGCATAATGCCCCCCAGAACCAAACCAAGGAAAATGATAATACCATCATGAAGGGACGGAGACCCCGAGGTGGCGGGGTATTGTGTTAGTGTCCGATCGCCGTCCTAAGAGACTTCCACCAACTCAGGGGCTTAACAAAACAGAGATTTATGCTGTCACACCTCTGGAAATCCAGAAGCAACCTCTTTGGGCTGAAATCATGGCACCAGGAGGAACTCGCTTTCCCCAGAGGCTGTCGGGGAGAAATCTGTCCTTGCTCCTCTGCCAGCTCCTGGGGGCTGCTGGTCTTCCGTGGCTTGTGGCTGCCTCGTTCTGATCTCTGCCTCCATCTTCACATTGCCTTCCATCTGTCAGCGAAACTCCCTTTGCCCCTCTTATAAGGACATTTGTGTTGGCATTTAGGGCATTTCGGGATAATCTGGATAATCTCCCATCTCAAGATCCTTCATCACATCTGCAAGGAACCTTTTTTCTAAATACAGTACCATTTACAGGTTCCGAGGATTAGGACCTGATGTCTTTGGGGGGCATTTTTCAAGCCACCACAGTGATCCTCAGCTTGATCCACAGTGATCCACAATGAAGTGCGCCAGCCTTCATTGAGCGCCCACTAGGTACCAGGCATTGTTCTAGGCTTGGGAGCTACAAGATGCCCTTGAGGGACTCCTGGTGCAGATGGAGAAAAGGTGAAAAGCCTATTTCTAAAACTGTGGCAAATTCTCTAATAGCATCAGCGTGTGGTGCTCTGTGCTGAGAAGAGGCCCCTGACTTAGATGTGGGGTTACCACTTCCTAGAGGAAGTGTCCCCAGATGCAGAGTAGATCCTATAAGTACTTTGTGAATGAATTACTGCCGTATGGCTCTGAAGCAGCATGGCCAGAATTCATACCCACCTCTATCCCCTGCCACCCAGATGGCTGAGGGATGGTGTGACCAGGCCGCCAGGGCCACAGGTGGCACAGAGGATGCCCTTGATGGCCGGGGTGCTTCAGGTGTTGTCTGCACAGATCAAGATACACTGGGGAAGTCACCCCTGGAGAGGTGGGCAAGGCCAAGGCATTTGACAGCCGTCTCATAAATGCCAAAGCCCCCTTAACTCTGATCCCAGAGGCCACCAGTTCTTTCCGGTCCCCTGCCCTGGCCTGCTCAGCCTTGTGGG